GTGGGGATGGGGGTATGGGTGTGGGGATATGTATTGATTGTTGGGGAGGGAGGTATGGTTGTGTGTGGGGTTATGCGGACGTGCGATGTAGGGTTGGGGGTGTATGCTTGTAGGGGTGTGGATGTCCAGGCGTTATGTGTCTTGTTGGGGTGGGGGATATATGGTTATAGGGGTGGGGTGTAATGTGTTGTGGGATGAGATGTCTGGTTGTGGTGAAGGAACAAAGTGAAGAGAGCTTAGAGATGATTATTTACGGCACACAAAAGCAATAAAATAAAATTATTGCAGTTTCATTAGGATAACACTGAATATTGAGAAATGTATGTTTTTATACCCATGACAACACCAAAAAACACTATCACCGTCAGTCACCTACAGGATATCGGATCAATACAGAACAATCTCATAGGAGAGAAGGAATGTAGCCATAGTTCTGTCAATGACGTATAAAATCCACGTTCATCAATCACGGCTTTTCACCTTTTTGGTAGTGCTAGTGTCGTTTAAGTTTTTGTTCTCGGTATAATTCAAAGGAAATTTATGTTGTACGAAAACTAACGTTGCTATCAAGTTTGATGTTCTATATACGCCTTAGTGGACAGGTAATAGCGGATTCATATATATACTTCAACGCGTGAAAAGGTCAAATAAAATAAAACCGCAGCTACATTAGAATATCAGTAGATTTTGCATTTAAAAAAAGCGTGTATACTTACGTTTTATTTACACCAAGGTGTGCCCCCATTTCCTGATGGACGCTCTTCAGGCCCGATTTCTCGAAACAAATTTAAGTCTGAGTTTTGACTTAAGTTAGAGATTTTACTCAAATTTGAGAAAATGTATTTCCCAGAATGAACTGAAATCGATATAAAACTCAAACATAGTAGAGAATTTGAGTTTGGTGGATAGATTACTTAAGTTGTTTGGGTTTTTTATTTTAAAAATGCAGTTGAGTTTCAAATTTCAGTTTAGCTGTTTCAAATTGTCAAACTCAGTTTGAAATTTGAGTTAAAACTTAAGTTTGTTTCGAGAAATCGGGACACTGGCACATCTGCCTTGTGAGGGACTCTTAGCGGTCCGGATTTGGATTTGAAAAACAGGTTGTCGTTATCCAGATTGAATTTTTCACATTTTCGCCGAAAGTTTGAAAGTTTGATTTTTAGATGCCCACTTTGGGTAGTTCCTACTGCTTTTGAAATCTTAGATATCCTTGACTTCTTGTTCTTCCACGTTGATAAAAAGTGTTGAAATGCAATGACTTTATCAGTGTTATATTCTTTTGAAATGTGTAACATTTTTATTCGGACGTGCATCGGCACGATATCAAAGATTTGGATGTTCCCGTCTGGATCTGCGGCGTCTATCAAAGACAGGCACAGTCGTCCAACAAATGATTTATTTCGGTCTCACCGTATGTACAGCATTTTGAACAAAACATTTTGATAAAACCATAAATATGTGTACACAAGCCATTCCACACGGAATTGCGAGAGACCATATTAAAACACAAAAGTTATATTGCTAGAAATATACATAAATAAGTACATGGGTAAAAAGCTAATCAACGGTGTTTCAATTGGCTACGTACGTTTACAGCGTTAGAAACAGCGAGGGTCATTATTCAACGAGGGTATCTTTTCAATACGTGACCCGGGTTGTTTTTCAATAGAAGCCGGGTAATTATTCAATGTTGAAAAAAGACCCCGGGCGTTGAAAAGTGAGTCCGGGTAATAATTCAATGTTGAAAAAGTACCCGCCGGGTACCTTTTCAACGCGGGTATGTTTTCAATCTTACACCGGCACTGAGCTGGAAAATATATCTCCTTCCCGTCTTCTTTCTTCTCCTCCTTGGCAACTGGTGAGGCCTGAAGTTGACCTAACTCTGACAAAGTTTAAGAAATCTGAAACTAATGAATTACAGTATACACAAGAATATAATCAATTACAAATCAAATATAATACATACAAATCCTTATTTGCAGATGGGTCCAAGGGTGGTGGCGCGGTGGCATGTGCCACTGTCATTGGATCCCGAACAATATCTTCTCGACTACCAACTAACAGCTCTATTTTCACAGCAAAAGCTAACGCTTTATTAACAGCTCTTAAATATACACCGTAAATATAAACAATATATAGTCTTTTCCGATTCTCTTTCGTGTCTTCAGGCTATTAAAAATCTTTCTTGTAAACATCCACTTTTATTAGAAATTATTGAATTGTATAATGAGCTTGCTACTGGCCAATGCGACATCGTCTTTTGTTGGTTACCGAGCCACGTTGCCATTTCTGGGAACACAATGGCCGATCTTGCTGCCAAGGCAGCACTCAACAAATCTGTGACACCACTTCTTATTCCATACTCTGATTACAAGGCTAGCATTAGAACTTACATCCGTGATCTGATGCAGAAGAATTGGGACACTCAAGTAGGTATTAATAAATTACATGCAATAAAACCCTACATTGGTTACACCTACTTGGGTTGTCAGTCCAGATTTGAGGAGGTCATCATACGACGATGTCGTATTGGCCACACAAGATATACTCATGAGTACCTATTAAAAGGTGAGGATCCTCCGTTTTGTATCCCTTGTGATGAAAGAATCACGGTCAAGGATGTCCTGCTTGACTGTGTTGAATATTCCAACACAAGGGGTATTTATTTCAAAGTAAAAACTATGAAGTTCTCATTTAATTATTGCCTTTTTAAAAAAATAAGACTTGTTAACTGATTTGTAAATAGATACATATTTTATTATTGGTAATTTAGATTTGTAACTGAGATTGTTAGATGCTGTACCCTCAAATGGGGTTGAAGTAGCGTAAAATTATTGTCCTCCTGAGAGGGTACGTAAGTCCCAAAACTTTCAAAGGAAATTTAAATTCACCAGCTGTTTTAAATGTAGCATTTCTCTCATTTTAATTTTGCCTTCAATCGCCAGCGGCTGAAGGGATGATATAAATCCAGCTAGGGCCCATGCAGGTAGCAGAAGTACTGTAAGTCCCCATTGACCCTAGTATGGTGATCTACCTTCAGTTGTTGGCGATCTATAGCCTTTTTTTATATTGTGCTGTCCCCTATTGTTGAAATGTTTTAGATTTAATTACTAGTTTTAAATTCGAATCTGAGATAATCTAGTTATTTTACTGTCCTTCGTTGACCGGTTTTTACAGTTTACCATTACTTACTATGTATGAAATTAATTGTTCTCGTCACGATATGGCTGAAATATTGCCGAAGTGACGTTAAATGTTAACTCACTCACTCACTCACTCACTATTATCTCGCCAGGTTCTTCTTTTACCGAGTAAACCTCTACAGGCAGTATCGCGGGCATTCTTCAAGGAATCCCAGGAATTTTTACAGAATTGCACAGGTCTCGGGGATTTTCTGAGGAATTGCACGGGGATTTTCTGAGGAATAGCCCTTGATTTTGAATTATTTTACTTGTACATATTTTGAAGATTGATATAACTTTGTCTTGCCATGACTGAATACGTAAAATATCACATGATTGATAACTTCCAATTTATTGTGCTGATGCCTGGTTTCCAACCTGCACCCTTTGCTTACTACCTTGGCGGTTTTATATTACTTTACTACAAAGGATCGCTGTGAAGAATGTGATTGATTGTCAGTATGAGCCATGTGTTCCTCACAAGACAGGTAGGATACGGTTAGCGCGTGGAGGATACGGATAGAGCGTACAGAGCAAGGTATTGGTCGGTTCATAAGTTTCGATCAAAACCTCCACCTCGGTTTTGTTTGAAAAAGTAAGCCCTTTGCCTCAGAAATTGGGTCGGGCCTATCGGCCCTCAGCAATGGTATGGGACAGCATATTGCAAGTTACGGGATTTCCTGATAGCAATGAGTGGTAAGACATTCAGTCGATTGTACAATTGTGACTGTATCATGAGTAGATATTTGTTTCCGCAGTATTACAGCTGTATGATGTTGTTTGAAAACAAATCGGATATAAACCAGACAGTTCAGTGATTGTCACCATGCAATACCATGACAGAGCATGTGTTTATGAATCACTATGAAAAAGTGATGATACCAGGTGTTCGCGAAAAGGTGAAGGTATCCTGCCCCACCGGTGGCAGGATCGGACATCATTTTTGTCACTGATGCATCAAATGTGGTAATTTCCTTCACATGTCTACCATAAAACGTCTTGAAAGCTTTACTGAATGTTGTAACCTTGATCAAACAACTTTTGAACAAGAGTGTCATGACGCTCTTTGATAGGCGCATAAATCAGTTTCAGAACACAGCAGCAATTAATGAAAAGTGTGAGTACCCTAAAATCACCACAATTACTCCCTCTACATGTCCTGACGTACCACTTGCATACCCAGAGATTAGCTCAGCACTGGTTTGATATCAGGTTGATGTACACAAACACTGTCGGTAATATTTAAGTATGCCCAAATATATTTAAACCATCTTGAACTCAAGAGATATGAATGTGATAAACATTCCCAATGTCATTTCGTCATGTTTGGAATATATGTAAATAATCCTGTAATTTGCATCTCTTTCAAACCCTTGAACCAGTTGAGACATGGTCGTTTTGTCTCCATTATTTCAGATATTGTATGAAATACACTTAAAATGCGTTCGTTCCGTTATTTTCAAGCACAGATATGAATATATATATATGTAAATACTTCTATTTATGACCTTACATTCCAAACATCGAATGATTAAAGACATTTCGACAATTCCAACCTTATTTCAAACACGCGGGAGAACATAGAAATACTCTATTTCGTGTAGTGTGATATATACACATATTCTCAGCATAGACACACGTGAAAACATGTAAATGAAACAAATTGATGTCATAAGTTGCTATTAAATAAAATAGACAATGATATAGTATTTTCAACTTGTGTCGTCTACAATGAAAGTCATCGAAGCGTTTCCTGAACCATCAGCAATATCTGTTTAAATTAGTTACTCTCATGCGACAGAAATTGACAACACAAGCTCACATTTGACTGCATTAAGTTTATTTTACAGCACTTCATCCTCTGGTGTAATAAAGGAATGGACTGACACATCTCCGCGGGCAAGACCCACAGCACTTGAATTTACCGCCGCAGTCAAAGTCCTTGTTGCACTGGTGTTGTTGCTTACAATAGCCCTGTCGGTATCCGTAGGGTGTTGCAATTGGAGGGCAGGTGCCTGGTTTGTCTATCGGAGGGGCCGGGGGAGTACATTCTCTGGGGCAGCCTCCGCAACACTTCTGGTCGCCATCACAGTCAGCGTCATTGGTGCATAGCGCTATACAGACACCGATTTGACCGGGCTTCGGCACTGGGCATGATCCTGGTTTATCTAAAACAGGAACGTTATCTAATGTGAAAACATTTGTCAAGAACGTAAAGCTATCACATGTAAATAAGGTTGGGTGTGGTATTTCTATCATTGGCCTGTATCCCTGTAAGGTATCCCGTACCCCAGAATATATTTTCAAAAAGTAATAATAACTCAAATCTAACATGATTTGGCAAGTCTATATTGCCTTCACCTAGAAATTGTTCTGGGTTCCTTGTGAATTTTATGTTTCCTTTGTGGATATATATTACTTTATTTCTGGGTCTACTGCTTCACTTTAGGCTTAATAGAATCATTGTCCTTCTGAGAGGGTACGTAAGTCCCAAAACAATTAACGTAAATTTAAACATACAATGTACTACTATTTCTAACCGCAGTATATATGTTATTTCAATTTATGGCTAGATTGTCAAAAATTGCTAACATCTGAAAGGAAGATGTAAATCCCGCTACGGTCCATGCAGGAAGCAAATGTACTGTAAGTCCTCCATGGTCACAGTATGGTGATCTACCTTCAGTTGTGGGCAATCTATAGCCTGTTCTATATTATTTTGTAATCTATAGTTAAAATGTCTTAGATTTAATTACTAGTTTCAAATTTATATCTGTGATAATCTAGTTGTTTTACTGTCCTTCGTTGACAGGATTTTAAAATTTACTTTCAACTGCCATAAATTTGATTTAGTCACGATATGGCTGAAATACTGCCGATGAGACTTAAAATCTTAACTCACTCTCTTTAGGCTTAAACTCCTAATGCGTCCATATAGGTGTTACAAACAAACTTTTCCATTTACTCACAGGTTGGTGGGATCTGAGAGAACATCCATAATTTGTTCAAGTTCAAATGTTTCTGTCCAGGTTCAGAAAACCCAGGATACTCTTTTCTGATCTTCTCTTTACTAGCAGTATATTTTTTAAGATTAAAGTGTCACACGCATAAGTACATTTTACTCACAATACATTATTCAACAATAAAATCGGTGCGTCGAGCCACACACTGGCTTATGAGACACTAAAAACAGATATACGATAATATTACTACTAATGATCCAAGGAATTCAGAGGATAGCTGATGTTAATTTCCAGTAACGGCAGCTCGTCACATGCATTTCGACTTTATTATACAGCAAGTGCATGGGATAAAAAATAAGTTCGTATTATCCGTCAGTTCGTTGTAAGTGTGTTCGTAATAAACGTAGTTTACGGCTTGTTATTTACAACACCCATCGCATTACTCACTTGTTGGAACACATCTCGGAATCCCCGAACATGGCGCCCTGGCACAATTAACTTTGCAGACAGTTCCTACTTTACAATGGACCGTCTATATGGACAGAAAAATAAAACATTTTTCTGTCATTTGATAGCAGTTGTTGAGTGACTGAGTATGGTTTTACGCCGCTTTTAGCAATATTCCAGCATTATCACGGCGGGGGAAACCAGAAATGGGCTTCACACATTGTACCCATGTGGGGAATTGAACCCGCATCTTCGGCGTGACGAGCAAACGCTTTAACCACTAGGCTACCCCACAGCCTCGCAGGTGTTGGAAATGGAAATTCAATATTGAACATTGTATTTCTGTTAGAAATCGGATTTAGTTTTTTACAAACACACACGCTATTTATAGTAAAACCGTACAGAAAACATTGTCATGTGACAAGACTGTCTTGAATCACAAATACAAATAATAACTGGAAACATTGCAAGATGTTTTCTTAGAAAGGGGTTCCATATATTGAATGATTGCCTGACGTTTGACGCTGCTTTCAACAGTATTTCAGTCACATCACGATGTGTCGACAACGTGTTATCGACGTGTTATGAAGACGTAAATGTATGGATCTTCTTGTCAACTTGTAGACATTAGCTTACAATAAACTAAGGTAATAACAAAGGGAATTTTACGACTTGAATGTACAGCAGATGGTAGCGACCAAAAACCAGTTCGTTATATCCGGTTCTTCTCTATGAGCGTGTTCGTCCTAAACGTAGTTTACCGCTTATGGGCTGTCAGATTCATACTCACGGCACAAGGATTTACTGGTTCTTTTGGAATGCTTGCGAAAACTACGGCAGCGAGCAACGGGATAGCCTGCGAAAAAATAGTGAATGGAATGGACACTACGGTTGTAACGATCTCAAAGGGTCACTAATTTGAGTTCGACATAACCGTAGTTCGTTATACGCATTTTGACTAAAATATACAAGTAGCTCGGACCCAATGAACAGTTCGTCATATCCGTCATTTCGTAACAAGCGTGTTCGTGAACGCTATAACCTCCCTACAACCCCCAATGATCATTAGATTCCCAGACAGGCCCTTCACAACTAGCTGTTTCACCTGTTGCTGTAATTATGGATTAAAACAAATATTACTAATGATTTGATTGATTCAATTTGCCGAGTTGAGTGTACGCTATGAAAACCTGTGAGGTAAATCATGAAATCTCAGATAACAAAAAAACGAAAGCAATTCTACATACCAATATGCAGCTAGGTCCGGCCATGTTGTTCCTTGCAGTTGATAGCCTACGTGTGGAGTTTGGGCGACTAATATAGCCCGTTACAGATCCTGTTTTGATGCATACGTCACTGAAAAAAACCCAGCCAATGAATGTTCATGCGGACATACACAATTTGAAAATGAAAATGTCTGATAGGGCTGGAGGGAATATATATCTCGTCAATCACGATGTCACACTTGTTGTTCTGGCATTAAAGCGTCTCGTCTTCACATTTCCTTACTTTTATATGGCGATCCAATCAACGTCCTTCTGTTCTTATGTAACATGGCTGTAACACCATAATAATGAATCACTATTTTACGCTGTACTCAGCAAATGCGTTTGTTATTATGTGCATCCGTCACGGTTTCGTGTTGCTTGTTGATTACTGCGGCACTCAGCAATATTCCAGCTATATGACGGCGAAGGAAAACCAACTTCTAATACAACTTCAAAAAATGCCTCTCTAAGAAGTATATGACAGCGGTTTGCAAATAGACGAGTCTGTACCAACAATCCAGCGATTGACATCATAAGCATGTCCGCAATAAACCAAGTCGGTATAGTCAGTCAAGACCACCGATCCTTTTAGTCGCCTCTTGTGACAAGCATCGGTTGCTGAAGACCATTTCTAACCCGGAAAATATTTCAGTCACAAAAACTTATAAAACGCTAAAACAAGTCATAATATGTAGGGGATATACATCATAACATACTTGAGAATATGAATATATGAATATATGTACACCTTTATACTCGCCTTGTGGAGATCGCCTTTCTTGAGTTACTTGTATGTAGCACCATCTACTGAAATGATTAAAAGAAAGAAAGAATATATGCAGATATCACATAGTTGTTTTCATTTTCCTTTCTTCTGCGCCAAAGTATATACATATATGTGCAGATATCACACAGTTGTTTTCATTTTCCTTTCTTCTGCGCCAAAGTATATATATATATATGCAGATATCACACAGTTGTTTTCATTTTTCCTTTCTTTTAATCATTTCAGTACATGGTGCTACATACAAGTAACTCAAGAAAGGCGATCTCCACTAGGCGAGTATAAAGGTGTACATATACAGTCAATACTTCGTCTTATCCGAGGTTCGGCTCAACAGCTCAAATGATCATAACATAATGTTAGAATACAGCAATGTAAATTCGTTTTCGTACATTTTACTTTCAGGCTGCATTCCACTTTGGCGCAAAACTTTAGATTGCTTTCAGTCCCAACATAGGCGATGTAAGGAGAAGAATTGTTAAAGAATGTGTAAATCTGACATAGTTTGTACAAATGTCAAGTTTAATGTCCTCCTGTTCCCTAAAGTCAGAAGGATTCGCTCTTTGCGTTTAGAGATTTTAGTCTCCCTATTTCAAAACTCCAGTGTACCACCCAAGTTTCATACTTCCAATCGATCCAAATCACTTTAGCTTATCAATAGTTGATTGTCTATCAAGATATTTTGCAAAATCGTCTTCAGCAAGGAGGAGTTGATAGGGAGACAGTATTCCTGTCTGCTTTTAAGGTTTTATATTTTGTATGACATAATCAATACCTATGTATCGATATCTACGTTTTCACTGAAGTTCAAGTCAAGTTTTCAGGTGTCAACAAGTTCAATTGTTTTGAAATATTATCAAATGCTTCTTAAAGTGATAGAGGGATAAAGTCACCAGGTTTATTTTGTTACGAGCGAAATATATAAATACAGTTGTCTTCCTGAATCTTACAAGGATGGATGAAGAGAGAAATTGTTTCTTTTCAACAGTTGAGTAACTTTTGTATCTTTGGCATACATGTAACAACACCCGTGTTGACAATAAGACTTAAAGTGTCATTTCAGAATGTACCTACTTTCCAAGATATTTCCATTAGAAAAAATGAAAACGTCCATTTATACCTGGTGTTTTGTTAATGTTCATACATTTTAAACTTTGTTTTTTATCAACGGTGATCGTGTTTCCTTTAGTGGCTAAACAAATTTGGTCTGTCAAGTTTGTGTGATGAATAATTACTTTCACTTATTATTTTCTCGCAGAAAGGTTCGCTTACTTGTTCAGGTAGAACGGTTTGTCCATCGATGTTCAATTTTCCTCATATGTTCGTATATTATGCTCAAGGTCTATTTTCTTCATTTCTGGCTTTCGAGACTTATGAAGAAAAAGATATGAATTTGCAACTGGTCAAGAAGTTTCTATGAAAGAGAAACACCACATTTTAGTCCCAGTTCAAATCTCCAGGTATTCTCTCTTTTTCTTTAATTTTTAGTGCATTTCTTGTTGGGATATTCTGGCTCTTTTTCTTCAAGTGTATCCTTTTCTATTTGGATACAGTCAATGTTAAGCAGTACATTAGTCCTAATCCTTCCTTTGCTCAGAGCATATGAGTAAATCAAAGTTATTACAAAATGCATGAGGTGGGGGTAGGGAGGGATGTTGTTCTCATGTGCGATCCATATCTGTTGGTTACAATAATACTAGTCTGGTTATTATGTATCACTGTCTGGAGCAGGCAAACCAGTGTTTCATATTAAGACGATCCACGCTGTCGGAGGTGACAAAGGATTCATTATTTATTTTATTATTATATTTTGAAGGAATTTAAGTATTTCCACACAACTACTAGCCACATAAAGAACCTGTGCACACAGAAAATTCCTTCAGACTTGGAATACAACACAGAAAAGACCAAATCATGTAGACACTTTATAAGCTGAAGTATCGGGCCTCAACAACATGTCAAAAGAACATGAACAATATCCGTAACGATGACGTTAGAAGTTCAACATTGAGTGGGGGGTCACACGTCGAAGTCACTAAGTCAATAACGGGTATGACCATCATGCGCGTGAAGCACAGCAGTGTATCGACGACGCATAGAGGCTACCAAATTTTCCAAATGAAGGCCTGGGGAATGGTTTGGGACGTGGTCACTGCCGTCTGGAACCTGAGTCACCCGAATCCATCTGTCCTGTCTTGGCGTCGTTACTCGGGGACGCCTAGAACGTGGGTGGCCGGCGACGTCATTACTGTTTCCATAACGCCTGACCAATGCAGATATCGTGTTAATGCTGCCACCTGTTCTTGGCTCATGCCTGCTCGAACCATTCCAATGGCTTCATGACGTTGAGCAGATGTTAATCTTGGCAGGATGTGCATGTGACTTCTCATGTGAATTTGTGAACGTTTGAATGACCAAAGATCAAGCTTTCGACAGTGACAGCAATTTCTGAGTTTCACATGTTGTGTGCAGCTGCACAGGCTGCACGTGCAGTAACACATTGCAAGTCCATAGGCCACCATCAATAAACACTAAGAACTGTGTGATGCAAGATGATTTTCAAAATTAATGGTCTACAGTGATTTTTTTTACCTTCCTGAAAACCGTCAAAATCAAGAATGACACCCCATGCACGTGTATGGGGCTACTGCGTTGTGCACGTGCATCCCATGCGTTATGTTTAGGGGTGGTGATAAAGGGAAATGGTGGTGCGTTCATAACATATCTGTCTTTGAAAAGTTTGTTAACTTCAATCCAAATTGAAAGTTCAGGTTCCCCTACTTTTTTAAAGAGTATATTTCCTGTACATGAAAGGCAGTAGAGTCTGTTAATAGATAAGAGTTCCAAAACCATTTCTATCTGTCTTTTTTACGTTCCCGACTTTATGATAAGCATGCATTTGATGTCTATAAGATGAAACCACTGGGCAGAAAATGCCTACTGGGAAAGGGCAGAAAGTTAATACTGATTTGTTTCGGTCTCCTGGTCGGGCCATTGTAAGCATACAGACCGCAGATGTTACTAAATCTGTCGCTCCAATAATTTGTCCTGTGGTTCGTTTCATACCATATACGAATTATAACACCAAATGTGAAAAAAAATATTCCAGAAAGACTCCTAGGATTGAATGACCGTAAAGAAAGTCCTCAAATGTGCTTATATGTAGACGTTCAACACTTTGATGAAACATTCATGCATCCAACGGTTATAGTCATTGCGAATGTGGGAATTCCAAGAAACGATCTTCACAATGTTGATAGGTGCAATCTACATTTCTTCCAATCGTAGGAAAACACAGAATTACTCGTGCTGTCAGTTTAAAACGTTAAAATGTCAAAGGTAATTTCATTTGTTTATTCCATACAAAATAACAATCAAACTTTTCAATGAATAGAAAAAAATGGTCCACCATGTGAAGTGTTTCTTTGATGAGGGTGACAAACATACCCCCAAGAGCATAAAATTCTTTTCCAGCTGTTCATCCTTTGGTGAAATATCGGAACGGAATAGCACATCTCCTTGGGCAAGACCCACAACACTTTGCGTTTCCATAGCAGTCAAAATCACTCCTGCATCGGTGTGGGAACGGGCAGTAACCCGGTTTGACTGTAGGAGGTGCTGGATCAGTACATTGTCGCGGGCACGACCCACAACACTTCTGGTTCCCAAAGCAATCAGCGTCATTGTTGCACGACACTACGCAAGCGCCAAGACCATCTTGTACTGGACATGATCCTGGTTTATCTGGAACAAACACAGTGGAGAATATAGGCTAGGAGTTATGACCAATTTCTTTGGACATTTTCGTCGTGAAGATTGAGGACAAAATTTGATAAAAATATCCAACAAATGTTCGATATTCACTTTTGATCAGTGCATTTAACAAACAAGAGCCACTAATTTTCATATACTCACTCATGGGAACACATCTTGCAACTGGTGGTGGACATGGAGGTATAAGACAGTAAATGGTCTGAACCTGGCACGCAGTTCCTGGACCACACAAGACTGCCTGCAAGTGAAAATATTAACCGTTGGATATGTTTCTTAAAGGGTTGTGTTTCCTTTAATAGGTGAAGCATATGGGTCTGATTAACCAATAAACTTAAAAATAGTGCAGTAAATATAGACAGAGCTGATCACACAGACATTACATTTCTAAGCGATTTAAAAGTATCTTTACTGGTTATTTTCTTTCAGTGGCGTCTTATCTTAATCAAAATAAAATATGGCTTGAAGTTTGATTATTTTCTTAATGACGTAACGTGAAAAATGAACCTTGTATCTTATTCCGTATTGCATACTGAAAAAAGTAAACATATCGCTAAATTCACGATAAGGAATCACATTCAGCTAATTATTCAGTTATATATCTGTGACGGCAGCCTGTAACATGTCGAGTCTGGACCCGACAACCCAATCATCGATATTGAAGGTAACGATCAACGCAGTCGAGATAAAATGACACGCAATTCACCAAGTCATTGAGCCTGAGCATCCAGGAAACTTAGTCGGCTCTGAAAACCAGCACACGATGGTCCTGTTTCAGTGAATGAGTGAGTGAGTTTAGTTTTACGCCGCTGTTTGCAATATTCCAGCACTATCACAACGGGATACACCAGAAATTGGCTTCACACACTGTACCCATCTGGGTAATCGAACCCGGGTCTTCAGCGTGACGAGCGAAACTTTAATCACTAGGCTACCCACCGCCCCGGTCCGGTTTTAACAGAACCCTAGTGGCCTTATTAACTTCTACAAGTATACTACGTGTCATTAATAAGGGTCAAATGATATATAGTACATTAAAAAAAGTTTCTCAGAAATAATAGAACTAAGAGTGTCATTATAATGTTTAATGTGTTGACAAACGTGACACATCGTGACATACAAACAAAAGGTTCAAGCAGCACTAGAAAACATCAGTTGTATAGACCAACCCCCCAAAATAATGACAAACATGAAGCACTCGGCAATCAATATCTTGTGTACCCTCCTCGCGCGTCCAAGACACATGTGCACCTTGTTCTTATGCTCTTTATCAAGTTTATAAAGAAAGCTTGCGGAATCGCATTCCATTTCTCTACTAGAGCTCTGCGGTGTCTTTGGAGATGCACTGGTGCTGGGGAACGCGTGTACAGTCGGCCGAGTTCATCCCAGGCGTGCTCAATTTGGTTGAGGTCTGGCGAGCATGGTGGCCGCTCCATCCGCTCTACGCCCTGCTGTCTAAGGAATTCCGTGACAATGCTGGCGCTATGAGGCCTAGCGTTGTCGTCTTGCAGTAAAGAGGGTCGACCATAAAAACCATGCATAGCTTGCAGGAATGGTACTGCTATAGAAGCCAGAATCCCGTTCCGCATTGGCTTGAAATCTCTGCAAAAGCCTACCAATAGCACTATGACTCACATTAAAGCGGACAGCAACCTGCCGCTGAGTTCGACAAGATTCCAAAAGGCCTATAGCCTAACCCCTTTCGACAAGTGTCAAAAACGTATCATTGTAAGCTGCGATTTCAAACAGGTACCTGAACAGTGAACGACAGTGAACAAACATCAATGCATGTGTATTGTCCTCCATTTTCCATGGATAGAGCGACTTGCACGTGCAAATCATTGACATTAAGTGGCAGGTGGAAGTCCATATTGACAATTTGAATTAAAAATGTTCCATTTGTAACAGAATATATCGGACATTAAAGAACGTAATAATGACATTTCAACGTACTGATGTGTTTTTCCATACTGTTAAGAAAGTTTGTAAAACATTCCGTTGCATATATTTCAAACAATAACGAAGATTTTACAACTTTTAAGAGATAGTGTTACCAATAGCTTGACCCTTCATTAATGACGCCGAGAATAGTTTATGTACAGTCTAAGTGATACGTACGGCACAAGAAGTAGGTGGTTGTGAAGGAAGCATTGAGGAAACCAGTGTAGCGAGCAACGGAATTGCCTGCAAATATAAAGTAAGTTAATATGGATGAGTGAGTGGTGAGTAGGTGGATGGGTGGGTGGGCGGGTGGTGAGTGGGTGGTTGGTTGGTTGGTTGGGTGGTTGTTGTTTAACGCCGTACGCAGCAATATTCCAGCTATATGGCGGTGGTCTGTAAATAATCAAGTCTGGACCAGACAATCCAATGATCAACAACATGAGCATCGATCTACGCATGTGTCAACCATGTCAGCGAAGCCTGACCACCCAATCCCGTTAGCCGCCTCTGACGACAAGCATAGGTTACTGAAGACCAATTCTAACCCGATCTTCACGGATCGGCTGGATGAGTGAGTGAGTGGGTGAGCGAGCTGCTGGGCGGGAGGGCAAGCAAGCGGTTGACTTTCAGTGTTTCAATAAAATAAGTACTCTCTAGCTTTAAATAATAATAATAATAAATTAATGAGGCCCATGTTTAACACATGTCACATGAATTACAAAGATTACAAGAATATTTCTTTGGAAAAAAAAGAAAGAAAAAGAAGAAATTACTGGCCATCAAGGAGGGTCCGACAGGTAGCAACAAAAACATCTAAAACAAAAGCATACCTACATCACCATATGCCATAATAAAAAGAATCAATGCAAGTAGAACCTACCAAGAGTGAGCTAGGTCCTGCCATGCTGAATCTTGTAGCTGATGAACTAAAATAAATGAGGATCGATACTGCAACCTTATATACTCTGTCACGAGCCCTGTCAACGCGTCACCATTCATTTAAAGGACTCAATCAAACGTAATGCGGAAATGACAATGAGGACGTTTTTTCTAAGGCCCGCCGGGTATTAACAGCATAAGGTTTGGCAGTCACACGAACATATATCACATACCCAAAACAATTAGAAGACAAAATAACAAGTCATAACGCATTTGTATTGCGCTGTATTTTGGAGATGGTTACTTTGCTGTACTTATCTTTTTTCTTTTGTTTATTTGGTTGCTGGTGTTTTAGTTTTATGTCTTATTGGTCTGTACAGTTACAGTTTTTCATTGGGACACAGGTTGAAATTGGTGCGGAAAGATGCTAAAGAAAGTGTATTACACTATGTTCTTTCCGAAATAGTGAGTGAGTCAGTTTAGTTTTAAGCCGCACTCAGAAATATTCCAGCTATATGACGGCGGTGTGTAAATAATCGAGTCTGGACCAGACAATCCATGGATCAACAACATGAGCGATCTACGCATGTGTCAACATCGATCTTGACCAATTGGGATACGATGACATGTGTCAGCCATAGGTCAGCGAATTCTGACCATCCGATCGGCCGTTAGTCGCCTGAGCGAGCTACGACAAGCAAGCGGTTTACCGAAGATCAAACTCTCTAGCTTTAAATAATAATAATAATAAATTAATGAGGCCCATGTTTAACACATGTCACATGAATTACAAAGATTACAAGAATATTTCTTTGGAAAAAAGAAAGAAAAAAGAAGAAATTACTGGCCATCAAGGAGGGTCCGACAGGTAGCAACAAAAACATCTAAAACAAAAGCATACCTACATCACCATATGCCATAATAAAAAGAATCAATGCAAGTAGAACCTACCAAGAGTGAGCTAGGTCCTGCCATGCTGAATCTTGTAGCTGATGAACTAAAATAAATGAGGATCGATACTGCAACCTTATATACTCTGTCACGAGCCCTGTCAACGCGTCACCATTCATTTAAAGGACTCAATCAAACGTAATGCGGAAATGACAATGAGGACGTTTTTTCTAAGGCCCGCCGGGTATTAACAGCATAAGGTTTGGCAGTCACACGAACATATATCACATACCCAAAACAATTAGAAGACAAAATAACAAGTCATAACGCATTTGTATTGCGCTGTATTTTGGAGATGGTTACTGTGCTGTACTTATCTTTTTTCTTTTGTTTATTTGGTTGCTGGTGTTTTAGTTTTATGTCTTATTGGTCTGTACAGTTACAGTTTTCATTGGGACACAGGTTGAAATTGTTCGGAAAGATGCTAAAGAAAGTGTATTACACTATGTTCTTTCCGAAATAGTGAGTGAGTCAGTTTAGTTTTAAGCCGCACTCAGAAATAGTCCAGCTATATGACGGCGGTGTGTAAATAATCGAGTCTGGACCAGACAATCCATGGATCAACAGCTTGAACATCGATCTTCGCAATTGGGATACGATGACATGTGTCAGCCCAGTCAGCGAGCTTGACCACCCGATCCCGTTAGTCGCCTCTTACGACAAGCATGGGTTACCGAAGATCAATTCCATGAATTCTAACCCGGACCTTTACGGGTTAATAAATGTCACACGTCAGAAAACATAATTTGTTTGGATGGTTTGTTGCTTAACGCCACACTCAGCAACATTTCAGCTATATGGCGGCGGTCTGTAAATAACGGAGTCTGGACCAGACAACACAGTTATCAACAACATGAACATCGATCTAATGCAGTTGGGATACGATGACATGTGTCAACCAAGTCAGCGGGCCTGGCATGCATGGGTTACTGAAAATCCGTTATAACCTAGTCATTCTCGTTTATATTTTCTAATACCCGTGTAAATCCGGGTTAGACTTGGTCTTCTGTAAATACAGACTGTTGCCATATAGCTGGGAAAAACTAAACTCACTCACTCGTCAAGGTGTCCACTCAGCGATTACCTTGATCTCTACGAACGTAGAAAGGAAATTGGACACTCGAAATCAGTGAGAATGTGTGTAATTAACGCCCTTGTAAAACAAGCAAATGATTTCAATATTTAGAGAAAATTATATGATAAAATCTACATTGTGCACAGCAGCTTAACTTTTACTTGATGATCGACCCCTTCCCATTGAACATAAAACAGCCCAAGATCTATAGGTAGTTGACTAGTGTGGACACAGCTAGTGTTTACGAGAACGCCCAAACAGGCGAGCTGCATACCTGAACAGCGAATATTAAATTACCAACGAATGCTCCTGAGAGCTCGAGGGAGAAGACAAAAATCAACAAGTTGTTTGTCAAATGTGTGCTTTTTTATTTTATCCGATTTATATTAATAAATGACGTTGTTCATGACAAGTGACAGTTTGGAATTGATTTATAATCCAATTTCTCTTCATACTTTCATATTTATCATTGTCAACGTTATGACTTCAATATGTTTCATAAGTAAGCTTGACATAAAAGTACATCAGTTAGTTCAGTGTTGACGACTGAACTTGATGACTCTAGAACACCTGCCCCTATCACAGATGTGCGTATGACAGTAGTACGTTCGCCTATCACAGATGTACGTCTGATAGAAACACGTTTGCCAGTCACAGATACACATGTGACAGAACAGCCCGCGGCAACTTCCAGTCAGCCACAGAGTGATGTGTGTGGTATTTTGATTCACAAAATCTACAAGAGGGATCATCTATTCATCTATTCCTAAACAGCGTGATGGTTATGACCATGTTATTACGCATGTTTGAGATGAGTGGGTAAAGGTTTTTGTTTTTGTTTTGTTAAATTTTGATGATTTTAACGAAGTTAATATGATCAATTTTTCTCGTTATCATTTTCAACATAAATATGGGAGGAACCTTATTTCGATCGGTGGTCAAATTACATCATTTTCTATGTCATGTCATGTCATGTCATCTAACGTCATGTCACATTTCAAGAAGACGGTAGCACGTGTCACAGTTACAAATTGCTACACGTAGAAGACACACAACCTTTGTTATTCTGTCTTTTCAAACATATACTTGAAACTAGTAAATATATCAATATATAACATTATATGAGGAAGAGGCGGTGCTCTACCCTAGTGGTTAAAGCGCTCGCTTGTCATGTTTAAGACCCGAGTTCGATTCCCCACATGTGTACAATGTGTGAAGCCCATTTCTGGCGTCTCCCGCCATGATATTGCTGTAATATTGCTAAAAGCGGCGTAAAACCAACTCACTCACTCTTATGAAGAAACATTGTCGTTATATGTGCACATCAGCATGTTCATTATAGTGTAGACATGCAAATAAGTGTTGTTCAGAAACTGAATATAAATATGTCTTTCCCAGGTGCATGCTGCCCTGCAAATTAGTTGTTTTACGCTCATTTAAATATATATAGAATCAGAGATAAAATCGTTTTCATATCCATTAAAGAAATCTCCATTTACGATTCCGACCATATCAAGAAACAAATATTATACAAGGCGTTACACTGACAAGACGAGAGGTGTCGGAAGCAACGTACGTGCCTACGGTTTCAGCCTGTATCTATATAGGGAACACATGGCTTTATACGCTGACATGTCTGCCGTCCACTCGTGGTCAATACATCTATCACCTTTTAGCCTACTTCACCCATACCACTTGTTGTATTCATTGAGACAAATTCCGTTTCGTAGGGTTACTGATCAAATGTTTTGAGCATTATTTTTAACTACATCTCAGACAAAAATTAAATGAGTGAGTGAGTTTAGTTTTTACGCCGCTTTGAGCAATAGTCCAGCAATATGACGGCGGGGGACACCAGAAATTGGCGTCACACATTGAACCCATGTAGGGAATCGAACCCGGGTCTTCGGCATAACAAGATAGCGCTTTAACCACTAAGTAAAAGTAACTAGATATAGATAGATATATGTATCAGCCATTTGAGTGCAAGCAAAGTACTTATTGTTTTTTGTTTGTTTATTTTTGTTTTTTGTTTATTGTTTTATGTTTTTGTTTGTTTTGGGTTTTGTTTTTTTGTCTGTTTGTCTGTTGTTTTGTTGCTTTTGCTTTGTATGTTGTTTGTGTTTTGCTTTGGATTTTTAGGGGGGTGGGCGGTGGGGGTGCGAGTTCAACCTAAATGAGTTAGGTTGTAATTATTATGGAGTAATACGCAAGGAGAATTCTGACAAACTAACTTAAAGACAACTATCATGAGCTGCATGGTTGCTTATTGCATTACAAAATGAGCACTTGTACTATTAAGTCTCTGTGTGGACATTGTAACGGTATTTTCAACTATGGAGATCTTCAGGTGTCTGGTATTCCGACAGCTGCTTATAGGTCGACCTCCATTGGAATGAGTGAGATGTGTTTAAACAGTATTCCAGTTAGGTCACAGTGTCTCGACTTGTTGTGAGATGAAGGGTAGCGTCAGTGATGTTTACCACCTTCGTGACATCCACGAGCGTGGTGCAGGCAATGCTAAAACCATAAAGAAGGTGGAATTCGAACTTTTAAACATAGGTACCTGACGTGTCCAAGGGACAGAACTCTTCCCAGAGAATTACAGCATGCTTTGGTCTGGGCGTTAAATGGTTCATACATGAACTGCAAATGACATTTTAATTGTGGTAAATGCACTGTGCTATGGCGAACATCACTACCATCCAAAATGACATTTTAATTGTGGTAAATGCACTGTGCTATGGCGAACATCACTACCATCCAAAATGACATTTTAATTGTGGTAAATGCACTGTGCTATGGCGAACATCACTACCATCCAAAATGATATTGTTGGTTCTTTTTTTTACTTTTAAAGTAAACGGATCCTACTCAAAATGTCAAATTAACAGCAGATAACTCAACAGCTAGGGCTTGTTTTGGCTCCACAACTCTCCCTGCATTAAAAAAACACTTGATCATCCAACATTGAATGCTGGTAACTTGGTTGTTACAACATTCGCTCGTCACACTGAAGACCGTACACTGTTGTGTGAAACCCATTTCTTGTGTGAAACCCATTTCTGATGTCACCTTTTGTGATATTGCTGGATTAAAGCGGCGTAAAAGCATTCTCCCCACATTCACCACCTCCACCCATTGATTTGTCTGTATGTCGTATTGGAGTTGTCTTTAAACGAAGCTTGTTCTTGAGGACTGTTAAGAACGGGTGTTATTTTGTTCTATATTTGTCACTAATAGTTTATGGGGCCTAGCTGGTGATTTACCATATGGCGTGACAATTACCCATGACACAGAAAATAGTGTGCATATTTATCGTATCGCTATATCAATGTATACATTTTCCAATTTTTTTTTAAATATGTTCAGGTGTTTACTAGACGAGAAATATTACAAAAGAACGTATTATTTTTCTCAAAATAATAATCATTCACCATTTCAGTTAGATTGCCATGCGTACTGGATTCTCTCTTATATATGCACTGCGCTCACGAGTAAATCTTAAATTCAACCTTATTTGCTTGATTATGTTCTCATCGTTATTTTATAATGGTTTGTACAGCTTAAATTTTACAAGAAGGTTCCACGTGTTAGACCTCAAAATCCTATGTATGTAAATAAAGTCCTCTTAAATATTGGTTTAATGGAACGTTCTATGGAAGATATCTCATCAATCTTGTCTCTAACAATTACAGCTTGCCCTACTCTAGTAGCTCTCTACGTCGTACATACACATGTCAGGTGTATAGCAAATGGGGGTTAACTGATAGACGTTAACCCACCAATACCCAGAAACATGACACTACAACATAAGGCATGGTATGGTGTTACTGTACGACCTCTATGATTAGATATATGAGATTAATGGATTGTGACGACTCATTCTGCACCGGGACACCTGCCATAACAAATGTCTGACCCTTTGGTTTATATGTCCACTGTACTTAGGTTATATGCAGATATAAGTCCGAATGTATATTCTCCTGTCACAGATTTACATATCAATGCCTGTCAAATGGATCTGATGAAACCATTCAAAGGATCTAAATTGTTTTATGGAAGTTAATATTTGATAATAACAAAACAAATGTGTGTAACAAATGGCAGACAGCGGAATTAGTCATGTTTATTAGGATAGGAAGAAAACCCATTATTTTTAATAGTTTGGAAGCTAGACCCAATCTACTCAGATTAAATTACCAAAATTGATGACCTGGTTTGGTACTCCATACAAATATAGATTGCTGCATTGCATATACATAACTGCTAAAAGACATATTCATCTATGTTTTGTAAACATAGCCAATCCAAGCTTAATTCATTTTATAACAACTTGAAAAGGTATTTTTATGGTTGAAAGATTTACAGACATCAACAACAACAACAACAATAAAAGATTGTAGTAAATATCGTGGTGTCCTCATATTACAATACTCATTTGAATATATTCAGTAAAATTGTTACTGATGTGTAAACCTGCAAGAACCATCTTAATCTGCTATGCACTTGGAATATCGGTTCTTGAATATATGTAACCATGGGATCAAAGAAAAGAAAATTCTTGCCTGGCATTTTAAACTTGCAACTGGGAATGTTTTTCTTCAAAAGCTAAGAAAGATGGACTGTGGATTATCGGTTCTTGAATATGTAACTTGCATGGAATCAAATTGAAAACATATTGCTTGGTATTATTTTTCTTCAAAAGCTTGGAAACATGCACTGTGATTGTCGGTTCTTGAATATGAGTGAGTGAGTATGGTTTTACGCCGCTTTTAGCTATATTCCAGCAATATCACTGCGGGGACACCAGAAATGGGCTCTTGAATATGAAACCATGGGATCAAACAAACGAAAATTCTTGCTTGGCATTTTAAACTTGCAACCGGGAATGTTTTTCTTCAAAAGCTAAGAAACATGTCGATGGGGTATTCCCTGTGTACATTCGTTTAATTTCAAAAACGATTATATTTGTGCCATTTGTAATACCAGGAATGAGTATTTATCATACAATGGATAGTGTTCTCGGCAGGATAAAGCCAACGGATATTTTCGGTATCCGTTGGGGTCATATACGGATATCGATGCAAATTAGAGAGGTCATATGCAAATTTCAGGGACTACTTTCACAGTGTAAACAAACATGGCGTCAAGCGTCGGCGGTCGTGTCCGGATTGACGGTCGTGGTTACGGTACTGTCAGTGCTTTGATCCCAGAAAGTTCATGCCTGGTTATGATAGATGGAATAGATTATAAAGCGAAGATAGAAATTCATAGGCTTACGAAGATACCAACATGAGTTCCCCGGCCGACTGTCAGTGTAAGCAAGAGAACGGCATAGGTGCACAATGTCACGTGAACATTAAAGCGTATTTTGTTGTTCGAAAGGTTAATTGAAGGTTTCTGAAGTTCCACGCGAGTTTGTTGTTATTTTTCAAACGTAAGCTAAGATTTGTTGACAACAATACGTGCTTTAGCATAAAGCTTACTGGGAACTAGATGACCTACCGCAGTCAACTGCGTGATCAGGAGAAAATTTATGTCACCGGGCTTGTGACGTGACGTATTTCTCCGCACATATTTGTGACGTCATATACATTCCACAAAGTTTAGTTTCATGATTTGTAGCGTTTCAAATCGCATTTCTTTAAATTATAAAGCAAAAATGACTTTGTATGATAAATAGGTTATCACACTCGTGTGTTTTGGGATGGTTAATATCCTGCATTAGGAATAAACACTATGTATTTAGCTCGCCAAGGTTCGCTAAATACAATGATTATTCCTAATGCAGGATATTAACCATCCCAAAACACACTCGCGTGATAACCTATATATCTGCGTGTGGCCATTTTCGGTTAGATATTCAAGTCAGTGTGCCATGCCTCGTGATATATGTATACATACAATAAGTAATGCTGTATACACATCCGAGAGGCAGACTCAAGTGATGAAGTAAGATGGATCTTGAGTCCCTCTGTCAGCCTCGTCACGAATATTGTGACAGGGTCTAAAATTATGTGTCCTTCCGGAATTACAAAGCCGTACACAAGGGTCATCAACGGCATAAATACTTCTCTCGTCATTTTCAGAAGAGCATGTCAACAATATTCCACGGGTCACCTGTCATACAATAGTCAAGGGGGGAACGTGTCATACACGGGTTAGCTTGATGTTCTTTCTCCGTAACCTCCAATTTACGGTCCTGTGACCAACCGTCTCCCCATAACCCCATCGTAATCCCTCCCCGTCCCTCCCGCTAGCTCATTCTTGATGAGAGGACGCGTAGACATGTGACGTCAAATTTAAGTGGATATTTGTCACACAGCCCCAACCGTCGGTACAGTCCCAAGCTTGACTAGTTGGCTACACGGGTCTCCTGGAGTAAGCATGGACCTTTGTATATGGACAAGCATCCTTCTGCTGGTATGTATGGACAATAAGTAATCTGTTATCAGTTGGCGTCGTTGATGCCGTGAATGTGAATATTTCATGATGTTGCTATTGCCGTACACTGCAAGACATTCATCTAAAGCCACATTTTGTTTCAAAACGAAGTGTGCACCAATCATAGGCTTTAAAAAAACCTTCACTTTCTGTTTGCTTTTCTTTCTTTGTTTGGTTTGGGTTGTTGTTTGTTTTCACTTTCTGTTTGCTTGTCTTTCTTCTTTTATGTTGTTTTTGTTTTTGTGCTTTTGTTTTGTTTACTTTTTTTGTGTTTTTACTGTTTTTTCATGGAGGGGGTAGGTGTAGGAAGGGAGGTCGAGGGAGAGCACGGAGAGTTCAGTTGTTGTTGATAGCTGCTCAATGTAACGTCCCAACCACAAGCCAGATGTCTATCTGGTTTGCCCCTATTACGTTTCCAGGAGTGCCACCACCATGCACACATACGTGAGTTTCACAACAGTGGCAAGCGTCTGAAATCTGCACCGCTTCCGTCTTTTCTCCCATATTGTACTGACGCCCTGGTACAACTTGAATGATAACCCACTCACTCATTAGTAGGTTTTGTAGTTGGAGGATAGTAGTTTCAGTTGCGAATAACCTATTTCGTCAATACGATCCATTGTATGATCAAGGTGATGACAATGTAACGCGATAAGAGTCCACACGTCGCAATTATGATCAATCACTCTACGCTTTCGACTTGAATACTCAAAATGATAATTAAGATATAATGCTTATGAACATTTCATATAGAACCACTATATCTGTCGTGACAAATTAAAAGTGAATCAATATCTGTTATCTTTCATGATTTGCGAATTCTTAGTGTTAATCATGACCATTAAGAGGCGGTGGGGTAGCCTAGTGGTTAAAGCATTCGCTCGTCACGCCGAAGGTCCGGGTTCGAATTCCCACATGGGTACAATGCGTGAAGCCTATTTCTGGTGTTCCCCCTCGTGATATTGCTGTAATATTGCTAAAAGGCGGTGTAAAACCAAACTCAGTCACTCATGACCGTTAACTGTTTGCTTGTTTCTTGTGACTGTGCCGCCCAGGGCCATGTTCTACTTATATGACATCAGTCATGTCAATCCCGTGATTGATATGACGAGCACCGGCCTGCGCTATCGACTACAGTAACACATTTAGGGAGACCAGCCGGTCCATTAAGGCGATTATTGAGATGACTAATGTTACTAAGGGACTATGATAGCACGGGACCCCCGTAGGCTTATAGCCGTTGGACATTTGCAATGACATCTTAATTAAATATTTCATAACAACATGTCCTACACGCTTCCTCTGATATATGTTCCTCTTACCCTATGCCATGTGTATAACAATGCGTTGCAGGGTTAACTATGGAATCCTGGAAGGGACGTTGTTGCGTTGTCGCTTTGTCGCGCTTTGGTTAATGTTGCCTCATTTTGCTTGTTTTGGGTAGGGCGACAACGCGGCAATGTCCCTTCCAGGATTCCAAAGTTAACATTTGTTTATAAGCAAAACACTGTGCATGTTATTTCCAGCTGTAGGCAATAAGACCTAGGCATTAAGTAATAGTATTAGAACAAGACGTTATTACAAACTGTAAATGAATGTTAGCGTGACAATAACGTTTAATGACATGAATAGGTATAGTTTTGAAAAAAAATAATTGAAAAACGTGCCATTCTACTATTCGTTTTAAATTCCACATAAACTAAGGAGCAAATATATCGAGGTTTTCCTTTTTTTCTTGTTTAGGCATTTTGTTTGTTTTTTGTTCATTGTCTCGTTGTTTATATTGATAGTTTTACCTTTGCCTGTTTAAAAGTCAATGTGTAAAATGAAGTCTAAGACTTGGCAATATTCTATAAACGTTAAAAGAAGAGACAGTGGTTCAATGCAGAGTGGAGTAAGAATTTGCAACAACCAACAATCTGCCTGTCTGTCTGTTCGTCCGTCCAAGCTGGACCGCAGATGAATTCCATGCCATGTATGAAGTCGTCATCGCATCCACCGAATGTGGTGGTGTGTGATTCTGTGCAAGGAGAGTCCTTGGATTGGTGACCATGGTTGGCAGCTTGACTCCTGTGAGTTTCCAGCACTTCAGGCTGCCCCACAACGAATGTAACACATGTGATCACAACAAGTGACAAAATTGCCTCTCTTCACCCAGCAGTGAATGTGTACCCGGTGGGATGGTTATGACTTCAGGTTCCAAATTGTATACTTTCCCTTTACGTCGAACATTCGAGCAGACCCAGAACAATATTTCAGCAACTCCATCATTTGAGTGATTCATAATGTAAAACATGCTTGTGATGTCGTCGAAATCATGTAGTGCCTGTAGTAGAAATTTCTTTATATCTTTATATTTTTCACACTCGAAGATTTTCATAAAAGAATTTTATTTTCCACCAGATATAATTTTAACACAGTGAAGGAGTGAGTGAACCATCCGTCATGCTATGATATACCATGCTTATGTGTTTGTTATTCTTATTTTTACTGCCGCGATGTCTATGAAATATATTATACTTCAAACACAAACGTCCTAGCCAGTGGAATGTTTTTCAAGGGCGAACACAAAGTTGTATATTCAGATGTCATGTATTGTGTCAACGGCAATGAATATACATACTCTAATGAATTCTGCCTAGCATAAACAGACATTTTCATCTTTCACTTTTTCTCAATTACATATTGATAAATACATGAGAATATAATGGATAACAACTCTTATATTCTTTGTCACGACATTTCAGAGCTACTTCTTGCAGTTCTTGATAGGCATTTAGAAGTTGGACGAACATGAATGCATGACACGTTTTGATGGATAAGAACTTCTATTTAATCTTCATACGACGTTTCAGAGCTAATTTGCCCGATGAAGGAGCCAGAATTAGCTCTGAAATGTCGTATAATGAATAAAAAGAAGTTGTTATCCATACGAAAGGGTCATGTAAGGCTACTTCTTGTTCCTACATCATCTGATGAAGTTCTGAAAACGTTGTGACAAAGAATAGAAGAAAAAAAATCATGAAAAGGCTCATGCATTTGTCTTCTTCCACTTTCTAAAAGACTACCAAATGCTAAATATATATGGCCTCAATTACTTGCCTTCCTAGATGTTTCCGTTCCTCCCGCTGGTATGTCTGTTGTAGACTTGTCTTGAGATGAAGGAAAACTAAATTCTTTGGATAGTCAACTTCTTTATTGCAACGAGTGCGTAGTTTCGGTGTAGGTACAAACACCGTTATCAAACAAGTTTGTCGCACTCATTGCAATAAAGAAGTTGACTATCCATAGAACTTAGTTTTTCTTCATCTTCACAACTTCTAAAATGCCTCTCAAAGAACTTGTCTTGAGATCCTATAACGAATACAATGGACACTAATTATCTGACCCGAAACCTCTTCCATCATAAACTTGAAATATACTTAATTCTTTTACCTGACTGTATATATATTATTTATGATATATTTATCTTTATAACTTTCTTTATATATTTCGACGTATGTATAAATATCGACCCGTTTAACTATCAACATGTCCTTTTTCGATATTCCTGTCTGACTGTATTTCATATATTTATGTAACTATTTACTAATGTACTGTACTGAAGGTCGACTACTTGAACTCCAGAAATTTCTGTTGGTCTGAAATCTAGCAAAATGTTAAGAAATAGCATAAAGCTTTGAGGCTGATGATATGTAATTATAGTTTCTTTGGCGTAGATGTTTGAAAACACACGCGAAGAAAATCAAATAAGGAGCAAACCCATGACCCATACTGAACATTTTACCACAGGACACCTATGCCATTGACAGTATCTTCCTGGAAAAACAAGTTGTGTTACACTGAAGCCTTGAACACTGGTCTGTTTACAAATTTACGAAATACATTTGGTTTTATATAACGGCTCTTAACAAAACTGTTCAACGTTTTAAGTGGTATGTAACTCGTCTTCAATACGTCATGTTTTCACCATAATTTGAAATATGACAGTTCTTATGGCTTGAGCTTGATTGTGTAAAATGGCTCGAGACTTATGTAAACGTTGACGACATAAATAATAGTTCGTGGCTTGTGAGATCCGGCATCCTCGACAAATATCCATCAACATCAACGCCAGCCATCAGTGTCACGACACTGTGCCAGAAAGGAGCGCGTTCTTGTGCCTCGGGAGATACTGTACACGTCCCTAAGTCCTTAAGATTATAGGCTTAGGGACCCCATACCCACAATTGAATATGGTTTATGGTTTAACAGATTATGTTATATTCTGAACATTTCAGTGTAATATATTGTCAAGGTAATTTGTTCAATGAATCGGAGTTAATTGTATTTATTCCAAACCCTGTTCTTTATCAACTTTCATAACATATAAGTTATAATTTCCACTTTTTACAGTTCATCCTTTATGGTTTGCACTCTGTCACTAACACAGTAACTGTTCATTTGCAGTTTCTGGTTTCTTTGTAGGTCAAATGTTAATTTATCAAGTGTCTGCTTGTCAGATTCGTTGACTTGTTAACGGCGTCTTCGACGTCGTCGTCATCATCATCATCAGCATCAGCATCATCAGTATCAGTAAGAGAAGTAGTGTAATCAGTTGATGTTTTACCTCATTTGACAGCTGATTAGCTTAATTTACATTTAGTTTACTTTGTTAACAAAACTCAGAACTGAGAAAATTTCGTATATATTTTATGTTTTATGATCTTTACCTATTCTTGCCCGCATTATTAATGTGCTTGTCTGTGAATGAACTGCCTGCTACAGGCAACGCAAGTTTAAATGCGAGCCCCATTCCTTCAGACGCTTGTCCATCATTCCTATGACAGACCTATGTGAGAGAAATAGGCCGAGCGTGTCACGATGTGCTAAACATAGTCTCATGCTACATTCATAGGCCATCTAAGTCACACTTAACGTTGCTGTTGTGTCTAGGTGCTTTACATATTTCTACATTTAGTATTTTTATAATCCCCCAAAAGGCGGAACTTAAAATCAAAATATTAATTCGGTGAAAATTGTTGGAAAACATACTGAAAGTGTTTAAATGAATTCCTTTTATGTTTTTTCTGATTAATCTTCATCGTGTAGGTTTTATTAGGATTATGGTATAATTTATTGCAAATGAATAAATGATTATGTAAAACTTTTTAACCTTTTACGTCAACGAACTAATACTCTCAGTTATCAATTAACATAATTCATTAATTCAATTATATTAATTAATCTCTGAGAGTAAGTCGATGCTCAAGTACAAATCTATGAACGTCGTTAACACTGTATATTTACTCATATATGGAAATCGCCTGTGGCACAATGTTATTCATGTAAAATACCATATACATTACGTCTTAAAGTCTCAAATCTAGGTAGTCTCTAGGAGCATTCGTGAGGAAATCATTGTAATTTCGAGAGCTGTTTTCACGATAACGCTATATGTTTAATTGTACTGGGATTGTACGTTTAAACGTTATGTATTAGGGCTAGTTCTCAAAAGACATTCATGCCAAGCAATATTCCGCCTTCTCCATCTGTTTTAAGTACAATCGTCGATTGCCCGTCATTCCAAGTCGACTTATAACATATGTTATATTTAGGATTACACATTTTTCTGTAATATATATGTTACATTTGAACACATTCTAAATGACATTGTGTATTCATACTCAAAAGTTGTTGGATTTGGCCTGCAATCGTCAAGGCCTATAAACAGTACTCACACTTTGCTAAGGATCACACAATTTCACAACATTACTTAAACACAGATTTATAATTTGAAAATGTATTCATTTAAAACTGGGTAAATAATGATAGGGTAACCCCTTTTTAGGCAAACATTCAATTTAATCTAACCTTATGCACCTGATTGGTGAGTAACCATAGATATGGTTTTCATGGCACCATTAAACCATTTTGAAATCATGGAAGGAGTCATTGACAAGTACACAACACCTGTCAATAGCAGGTAAGGGATCCACAAGATGAAATGACATACTGAAACCTAGGATCAATGCTTACAACAGGCTTAGATATTTAATAGAAATTTGACCCCACATCATAGTTTTCTTTTGAATCAATGATTTGATCCTTAGCAAAATGTGAATAGTACATAATGTTTTCAGAAAGATTTATAGTAGTGGTGTAGTCGACATTTCCAAATATGAAGCCTCAGTGTCAAATGTCCGAGGCAATCCCACATTCTGACTTGTACCATGATGTATCCCCGTGTTGGTAACGTGAGTTATGGTAATGGGAAGGAATTCTTTGCTTACATTGCGTTGATAAGGTGTGATAATGAAGGAATATGATGAACGGTGAAGAATGGTACCAGACACCAGAATATGTTAATGACTATAAGGTCGAGCATAATTAGAAATAGGAAAATAGTATCCCATCGTGTGGTGTGAACAGGTTGGGCATAAGATTTGCCAAACTATTCCGAGTAGTCATTTTAGGTTTCAGTTAAAACGGAGTCGATCTGAGATTGAGTTCAGAGTTAACTGTCGACTGCGACCACTGCATGTTATGCCATGCGGTCCTACATTTTCTTCTGCATTTAATAAAAATCACCACTTTGCAATAAATAGATGTTAAAATAACCATTAGTCTGTGGAAACAGAGTTCTTTGGGCGTAAAGGTTACAAAAGACCAAAATGTTTTCAATGGACTCTAAACAATAATTAGGCTCATAGCAACTATTACCTTTCAGCAGCCACAAAAACACAAAAATGACCAGCTCCTTTTTGAGAACAGGAAGCTGAACACACCAACACCAGTTCCGCACCAAATGTCCCCATCTTGAAAATCTCCCTGGTCACTTTCAACATAAGTCATCATGTTAAACAAAGACAGCACTTAATGTTGGAAAACATGGTCAGTTTTCACAACAGGATGAAGGTATATTTGGAAAAATTGATATCATACCCAAAAAAATTCATCCAATTACAGCTGTGAGATGTCTCAGTCTGCAGTGAAGGTTCCTTGTGAAACCCTTATTTGGTTTAGTAGAACCTGAACTACAAACAGTGATGCTGAGTGTCACAGTGGTGAGATATTTTTTTCCGTAAAAGAGTTAGAGTGTCCTCCACTTAGCATATGTCACGCACATAATTCTATGCCGTTGCTTGAGGTTGTGTGAAAACCTATGTTTCGGCCATACCATGTGATACCATCGCTCATAGTGTTGATCATTGATAGGCAACGTGCCGTATTAAGTACCTCCCCAGAATGGACACCATGAATGACTTAAACCAGACCTCTGAGGGTGAAAAGCATAGCTGTGAAGTCAAATGTATGTTTGCGTGAAATTTGAAAAAAAATATATACATAACGACTTACCAGGCCTCTGATCGTTAAAACATATCTATTGAGCCAAATGTGTGGTTGCGTGGAATTTAATAATGTACTTAAAGACTTAATCAGACTTGCTATCGTTAAATGATATATATTAAGCCAAATGTATGTTTGCATGAAATTTGAAAAAAAGTACATAAAGACTTAACCAGGCCCGTGATCGTTAAAAATATCTATAAACCTAAATGCATGTTTACGTGAAATTTGAAAAATATTTACATAAAGACTTAACCAGGTTTGTGGTCGTTCAAACATATCTGTTGAGCCAAATATATGTTTGCGTGAAGTTTGAATAAACTTTACATATAAGACTTAGCCAGGCATGTGATTGTTACGAACATAGCTACAAAGCCAAATGTGTGTTTACGTGAAATTGTAATATAATGTACATACTTCGAAGTACAAAGTAAACAACTGTGGAATGTTGACGTATGCGGGTCAACTTCCGGTACATGCGTGTAATGACTTCAGTTGATTCCTGGGAAGAAATAGCTTCCTAATAACTATAAATATCTAATAATGAGTTGATTCTAATTCTGATCAAACCATCAATAAATCCTATACTCAGTCATTGCATACCATGATTAGGTCCGTTCCTGTAATTTTTAAAATGATCTTGAACGTCCTAAGGAATCACTTTCGGCAGATGATCGAAAGGCGTTGATGTATTGATTTTGCTGTGAAGCCGTCTTTCACAGAGCTTCATGCACTCAAGTATTTTGAATATAGATTGCTTGAGCTTTTTAAAACAAACACTTCTTTTTTCTTTTGCAGGGGACGGTTGATGCCATGTTCAACATGCCCGCCAACTTTCCCATGCCACAGGGTTATCCGTGCGATGTTCTGGTGCGTAAAACACAATCATTTCACTGGTGACATATATAACTGAATGTGTACTCTCATATCGTGGTACGTCAAACACAATCATTTCACTGGTTACATATCTAACTGAAAGTATGCTCTCATATCGCGGTACGTCAAACACAATCATTTCACTGGTTACATATCTAACTGAATGTATGCTCTCATATCGCGGTACGTCAAACACAATCATTTCACTGGTGACATATATAACTGAATGTATGCTCTCATATCGCGGTACGTCAAACACAATCATTTCACTGGTGACATATCTAACTGAATGTACGCTCTCATATCGTGGTACGTCAAACACAATCATTTCACTGGTGACATATCTAACTGAATGTATGCTCTCATATCGTGGTACGTCAAACACAATCATTTCACTGGTGACATATCTAACTGAATGTATGCTCTCATATCGTGGTACGTCAAACACAATCATTTCACTGGTGACATATATAACTGAATGTATGCTCTCATATCGCGGTACGTCAAACACAATCATTTCACTGGTGACATATATAACTGAATGTATGCTCTCATATCGTGGTACGTCAAACACAATCATTTCACTGGTGACATATCTAACTGAATGTATGCTCTCATATCGTGGTACGTCAAACACAATCATTTCACTGGTGACATCTGTCACACAATCATTACCTTGGGAGCCTATATAAATGGGTGACGTTGCACAAAACGATGTCAACGCTAAGGTGATCCAAACTCCAATACCTAAACATAGACTTACGACTTACATATGTTGTTTTACACAACGGCACCCTGATTGTTGAATTCTCATGTCAAGGTACATTAAACACTGGTACCCGGTAAAACAGGACGTTTACATAAACACGTCATTATGATATTGTCGTAAAATGGATGAGATTATGTATGATGAGTGAAAAATATTTATTAATCGTATCATGATCGTATTGTCATAAAATTTGAGTGTTCTTCCTCTTATCGGACAGGACAAGCAGTGCCCAGGAGACATGGTGTGCCGAATGGTGGCAACCAACTGTTTCAATCCACCCTGTGAAGCTGTAATGGCGTGCATCGGTAAGTCGATATGCTTAGTTTTGTTTGTTTCTGCAGAAGCCTTCAGCTGATGCTGAAACAGTATTTACGTCATAAAATCAGGCGAACAGGGCCCTCATCCTACTTCCCACCGATAGCTGTGAGAAAACAAGTTGCCAAAACGAGTTAGTAAATATATGTGCTTTAACCACATACTTTCTACAATAAGCATTTGCATAAAGCGTGTTAAAGGTATCGATGGCCTTTTTTCTGGACTTGAGGATCGTCAACACTTCAACACCTGGAAAGATACGATATAAAGTAGATTATTGTGTTTACGAGAAGTAACTTCGACATTCTGTAGTCCGTTTGATTATGCTAGTTTGACAGTAAATGTTGTACATATTAAGATGTAACATCAATTGAACAGGGGCGGTGGGGTAGCCTAGTGGTTAAAGCGTTCGCTCGTCACGCCGAAGACCCGGGTTCGATTCCCAAAATGGGTACAATGTGTGAAGTCTATTTCTGGTGTCCCCCGCCGTGATATTGCTGGAATATTGTTAAAAGCGGCGTAAAACCATACTCATTCACTCCCCTCTCAAGTGAATGATTTTTAATGCTAGTTTCTGCACGCATATATAGCACTTGGAATATACACGTTAAACAGTTCCGTATTAATCCTTGAGTACATGTATTACACTGTGTGCCTGCTGTGTTAACCAGACCCTCCCCCGTCGACCCACGCGGCTTGTCAGTCCGGGTTCCCCTTGGTGGCCGCTGACCGGCGGAGGGAGATAACCTGCACCCCAGGGGGTATGCAGTGTCCGAAGGAGTCCTCGTGCGCCTTTGACCCCTCCGAAAACCTCGCCGTGTGCTGCTGGAAAGGTATGTTATTTGGCATGTTTTAATCACTTACTTCACTAAATGCCACAACTGTTGATACAGACCGCCGCCATATAGCTGGAATATTGCTGAGTGCGGCGTAAAACTAAACTCACTCACTCACAACTGTTGAATAAAACTTAAATCGACAATTCAACCATGAAAACAACTCAACATAGGTTATTATGTTACGAAACAATGGGTATTAATTATCATTACATGCAGGATTCGTTTGTATTGTATCAAAATGAACATGATTTCATTGGTTCGTTTAACTTAATATAATTTCTTTTCTACCTATAAAATCAACTAAAAATCCGTAAAACGTGAGAAACTCACGAACAGATTTATCTTACTATAATTAACGAACCACCGGTCCAGTTTATTTTGAATGTAATGTCGCTAATTTAACATATTTTGTATTGGAAAATCAACCATATGATAAAAGCAACTGAGGGGTATAGTTTCTATTGCTCCTCTTCTTGAACGATGTGTCAGTGATAATTGTATCATCATCATCATCTTCTTCTATTATTCATGATAGTGCTCTGTATTATATGCCTCTGAATTTGATATAACACATTGTTTACAGTTTTAATTTAAAAAATCAATGTGAAACCATTTAATGAGAATTGGAAAGTGAAAAATGTAATACCCCTAATATCCATACTGGTTCAAGTCTTCTTCTAATCAATTGCGAGTGAATGAGTTAGCGAGCTGGCCTTGACGCCATTTTAAACAAATGACAGCTTGTCAACTTTACGTTGAGAGAATCCCTACTTGATGCAGTCCGTTGCAAGAGGACCCGTGAAGGCCCGGGTTAGAACATTGATCTTCAGTAACCCATGCTTGTCGCAAGAGGCGACTAACGGGATCGGATGGTCAGGCTCGCTGACTTGGTTGAAACATGTAATCGGTTCCCAATTGCGCAGATCGATGCTCATGTTGTTGATCACTGGATTGTCTGGTCCAGATTCGATTATTTACAGACCGCCGCCATATAGCTGGAATATTGCTGAGTGCGGCGTAAAGCTAAACTCACTAACTCACGTTGCAAGAAGCTTCTCTCGACAGATATCTGTTATTCCATGTTGCAGTGTACAAAAAAGGGCAGTGCCCAAAGCCCACGGGTCCGGGGTTCTGTGCTAGGCTGTGTCAGGACGACGGTGCTTGTCCTGGAGACCAGAAATGCTGCAGCAACGGATGTGGAACGCAGTGCATGGATCGTATGTCCCTCGTCCCTGGCAATAAACCTGGCAGCTGCCCCATGATGCCACCTACAATAAATGGCCCCTGTACCCAGATGTGCATTGGGGATTTCATGTGTGCAGGCATGATGAAGTGTTGTCCAAGTTCGTGTGGTCGTACCTGTGTCAATACACAACCTGGGTTACCCGGAATGACGCCTCAAGGAAATCTTCCTCCAGGTCGATCTCAGAACTTCCTTGGACGTCTTCAATCCCTGTTCAATACTAACAATCCGGGAGGAGTAATCCCACCTTCCCAAATGGATTCATTTTTCAGCTCTGTGAATTCTCCCTCTGGTCAGTCATCATGGCAACAACAGCAAAATTCCAACATAATGCAGACACCGAGTCAATCTGGATCAATGCAACAAAACCAAAGGCCAGTGATACCTGGAATGCAATCGGGTTTTGGTCAAGGTATGGCAAATAACCCTCAATCTTCACAGTCAGGGTATTCACCAGCACCTTCACCAGGGTATCCAAACAACATGCAAAAAGGATATCCAGCTGGATTTAAACAGGGTTTTCCAGCATCCCAACAGGGATATCAAACAGGATCTAAACCAGGATATCCAGCAAGGTCTCAGCCCGGGTTCCCTTCAAGAACTCAGTCCGGATTCCCTGCAGGATCTCAATCTGGATTCCCTGCAAATTCTCAGACTGGACCTCCGACTATTGCTCCACAAGGGTTCCAAAGTAGAAGTCCAACAGATTTTCCGTCAGGGACTCAACGAGGTTTTCCAATGCAATCGCAGCCTATGTTCCCACCAGGATCCCAGCCAGGCTATAAAACACTATCTCAAGAAGGAGTTCAAAACAGATCCATGTTCTCGCCGATGGGATTCCTCGGCGCTCAGGTAGGAACAAGATCTCAACCGACGTTCCCGTATCCAAACAACTTTCAACAAGGCGTCTTAAGACCGCCTCAGCAGGGATTTACACAGCCACCCCAGAACGTTGTTCAAGGGATTCAGCCTCCTGGTCCTTTTCCAAACACAGGGTCTCAGTCGGGAATACAAACAGCCGCGTCTTCAGGTCTCCAGCAAACAAATCGATTCGCACCCCAAACAGTAAGCAATTCAGGAAATACAAAACTACCCGGAATTACAATCCAACAACCTTCAATACCCAAACCGGCAGAGCCAACATTCTTAATAGACATTCAACCACCTTCCAACCTGGACCAGCAGATTGCACTTCAGACTGCCCTAGAAAGCATCATGGCAAAAAACCGTCAGTCAACTGAACCAAGCCAACCTTCTACAACTGTACAGACAACAGAACAACCAACACAACCACCAACTGAATCATCGACAGAACTACCAACCACTCAAACCACTGAATCAGCGCCAACATCAACAATTACAGCAGATCCCCCACAACCCACAGGTGCAGGTGAATGGTCGCCCCAGACCAGCAGCACAGCTGTTGATATAACAGATACCAGCACATCTACAGCTGATCCTGCAACGACGTCCACCAGTTCCCAGATCGAGACAACAAGTGAGCCTACCCAAGCAGCATCATCACAGAACAGTCCACCTCAGGCCAGTTCTGCTGAACCTATGCCAATATCTCAAGTAACTCAGCCAGATGTGCCATCGACAAGCTTAACGTCTATACCACAGGGCGGTGGGTCCCCTAAACCAGGCACTTGCCCTTTAATGTCTGCCGTGGGAACATGTAAGAATACTTGCATGGTCGATACGAACTGTTTGGCCAATTACAAATGTTGCAACATTGGACCATGCACCGTTTGCATGTACCCTGAAATGGTCCCAAAGACCTGCAGTTGGGAAAAGAGGATGCTGGGTGGATGTTAGACACCACATGTATAAGGACCGATCTGGTTGACCCTGGTGTCAAGTGCAAGTTTGGGTTTGTTTTTGGTATACACTCTTATCCAATAACATGAATATATCACGTATGCACACATAACACGCGTTGATGTCACTGTCCGTTGTTGAGGGAATATATGGGCTGTTTCTTTCATTTCGTGCACTGCTATGGACATGCCTTTGCTACTATTAGGACAACTTAGTTTGATGATTCAGAATGGCATATTTCGATATTGGGCCTGTATACTTTCTCGAATGATATCATCAACATTTCCAGAAGATGATTGTTACTGGAATAACATCCACAACGTTAAGCTAGCCAAATGAAACATTCTGGGGTCAAGGCATTCGTTATAGTCAAGACATTTTACGTGCCAGGGTGACACATGTCACTCAGACATGTCATGCAGGTTTTCATATTCGTGACTTTGACTTTTATATATTCATGAGATATGAAGAAGAACTGTATAGTCCGTGATATACAATCTCTGAATGACAATAAAATGTAAATAAATGTTCGTGAGTGACTTTGTGCCATGTTTATGCGAGTGTTCTAGTGACTACCACCTATACTAGGAAACTAGTGGAAAATAACTACAAATGAAAAGTCAAAGGGATATGGTTAACTCAATTGATTACAATTTAACACATGAGATATTCAGTCAGAAAATGGGGACACACGGACTGCGTGACAGCTAGCATTACACTGGTGACCCGTGAAGATCCGGGTTAGAATTGGTCTTCAGTAACCCGTACTTGTCGTAAGAGGCGACTAACGGTACCGGGGGATCAGGCTCGCTGACTTGGTCGACACATGTCATCCTATCCCAATTGTGTAGATCGATGCTCATGTTGTTGATCACTGGATTGTCTAGTCCAGACTCGATTATTTACAGACTACCGCCATATAGCTGGAATATTGCTGAGTGCGGCATTAAACAACCAACCAACCATTACAGTGGTATGATATTGTTGTATGGTGTGTGTATCGGATGATGAGTGACTTTTATCCATACATATTTACGCTGGCAGTGGGTTTTATGCTATTGTTGTATGTATTGGATGCATATTAGAAAAGAGAAAGTTGAGAGATATTCAACCGTACAGAGTCTGTCCTCAGCATATAAAGAGAGTACTGGGAGTTTACCTCATGGTACAGTCAAGAGCATCGTATTCCAATTGCGTAGTCGATGCTCATGATGTGAATCACTAGATTTTTGTGTCTAGACAGTTTACAGACCGCCGTCATATAGCTGGAGAATTGCTGAGAGTGGCGTTCACAACAAACAAAGACATTTGTCAGCTGATGCCCTGTTCCTGTTCCTGTTTCTGAACTGTTCGTGAACAAAGGTGGAAAGGGCGTTCATGTCTCATGTTCAAGTACACTCGCAAACGCTGGGATTTCTTCAAATTTCTTCGAGATGACGTCTGAAATACTCCAATGAAACCTTATGAAGCTCCCATGGAACATCACAGTTTTGACGAAACATAGCCTGAGTCTTATTTCCGATGTGGTAAATGCGTCATGCAAACAGAAAGCTTAAGTCACCGAAAACTTCTTGCCTATCATCTATTACCTAAACTTCTCAAATGGTGTAGTTTTTATAAGTGTTCTCGGGTCATTTGGTAAATGGGACAGTTCACTCTTTACAATCCACTGTTTGCAGTGTGTCTTACAGGAAGATGAATGAATGGGATGTGTGGCCCAGTGGCGTCATAAACCTCCAATGGAGAAAGTCGACTGCCGATGACGCTCTGCCGTTTTTACTCGCCATTAAATGAGCCTTTCCCTGCTGACCGTCAGCCCTCGACAAGCTCTGGCGTATATACGAGACACTTATACGTGGACATTACTCGAGAAGTTACTGTAATACATCAACGTTCAAGGTGACCTTTGTATTTGGTCTTTGACCCCTATGACCGAAACTCACCAGCGTGGCAGGTTCGTGTGGAGTCTCAACGGTGATCACTCATTCCAAATGTTGTTTAAATCCTAAAACGATACTTAGTATACCGTTCTGTGTCTAAGGTGTCTCTGTTTGTTCAACACACAGGTTCTAAATCAAAATGACGTACATCGAGACAATTCCAGTGTGACGTAGGCACACGTTTTTAAGGCTATCCTGCCTTTTGGCATTCATCGCTGGTTTTCTTTCAGGATGTTGCATGTAGTAGGTGCAAGCAGAACCTTAGATCGGTAGATTACTAAACATATAGATTTTGTGAGGCCAAATCAATCTATAAACACACGATTTTGTGTCATTAATTTATTTTACGATTAGAAGAACATTATAAATTCTACCAAACATTAATCATAAAGACGACGTGAGCATACAAGGTTATATGTGTTCCATCTAAAAGTCATTAATTCATTCAAGCTTCTTACCTTCAGATATAATATAACCCCAAATAATCGATCCTTTATATAATCTAGGAATGGACACTTTGTAACTACTAACGGTCATTTTCATTACAAGGATGAAAGTGTGCCTTGGGCACCAATGATGCTTCCATCCAGTTGGTGTATTTCTTCATGCATATGAATCGGAATTGTATTTCGTATTCGCAAAATCAAACTACGTAGTTTCGACTACAATAATTCTGATGCTACGGTTCAACAACTTCAAACAGACAATTTCCTTCTATTTGATTACGTGTCTGAACTAGAAATACATGTACACGAGATCAGTAAAAATGTTCTATTTGTTTCATGTTAAGATCTCTGACATTTTGCATTTTTTGCTAAACAAATAGAGGGTTACATCATTAAGAGCCACGTTAAAGCTTCCACAATGTTTTATGATAGACATATGAGGGACAATTCGACGCATCAGTAACAAGAATAATACCCGACGCAATTCCCTGTTTGGACATGTACAGTGTGTTCCCTGATTTGTTCAGGTGAGCACTTGACTAGCCTTCATAAGTGTTTGTGCGGCGATGAGGCTGCATGAGTTCACCGTTTGGTGAACATATGGCATCTTACTGTTTAGGGGCGGTGGGGTAGCCTAGTGGTTAAAGCGTTTACTCGTCACGTAGAAAACTCGGTTTCGGTTCCCTACATGGGTATCGTGTGTGAAGCCCATTTCTGGTGTCCCCCGCCTTGATATTGCTGATATTGCTGGAATATTGCTGGAATATTGCTATAAGTGACGTACAATCATGCTCACTCACTCTTTCGCACTGCTCTTTAAGAACTCGGAGTAGAATATTTTCAAACCTTTGATGGTTCTGGAGCAGTTATTGACAGGTTGCACGACTTTACGTAATGAAGTCGTGGTAAAATGAACGGGTGGTTGATAACATGAGCAAATATCCACGCTCTCCGGGCTACTATCACATATGGTATCATCCCTAACTGATAGTTCCCGTGACGATTCGGTTATTAGACTTACTCACGCATTACTATTTGATTGGATTCATTAATATATGCATATATTCGGTTCGGAATCGTGTAATGGGCTCTGTTTTTAGCAGACATGCTTTTCTTATGACGACGGAAAGGGTTTTGGCGCTTTTAGGCATGCAACGTGACATAGAGCAAAGGGTGTTTTCAGATTAGCCATGAAATGTTCATAATTCCTCATTTAAATATATACAATTTTGTTTTGTTTCGAAGTTTTACGACACGGAACAATATTCGAGCTCTTCCACGGCAACCTGTAAACAATCGATTCAGGGACACACAAACAAGTACGTTCAAAACCGTTATCTCGAAGATTATTGTGTCGGAGTACAGGTTTGGTTTTTTGCTTGTTACTTCTTTATTCGTCAGTTTCGGCTGTGTCGAGCCTCGGATAACTCGAAGTATTTGGTTGGCCCATTTAACTTGACAGCGGTGTTTGACTTCACTTGATATCATATCAGTGCCTCCCTCCACACACGATGTCACAATATCAACCAAGCCACCCGTGAAGGTCCGGGTTAGAATATTGATCTTCAGTAACCGGGTAGAATAGGTCATGCTTGACATCTTGTCGTAAGAGGCGACTACGGGACGGGATCGGGTGGTCAGGCTCGCTGTTGACTTGGTTGACCATCGATTATTTACAGACCGCCGCCAGTTGCGCAGATCGATTCTCATGCTGTTGATCACTGGATTGTCTAGTCCAGACTCGATTATTTACAGACCGCCGCCATATAGCTGGATTATTGCTGAGCGCGGCGTAAAACTCAACTCACTCAGTCACTCAACCAAGCCACCGAAATGGATAGTCCGAGAATATATACTGACCCGAAACTACAAAACAACATTCAAGACATACCTCTTGTATATATTATAAACGAGGAAACACACTGTTTCCGCGTGAAATACTCCAGTGAACTGGATATCTTTGGACAGAAGAATTTTCGCTGACTTCATTACGTCAAATGATGTACGACTTCAGGATGCATTGTAAACACTGTGAACACGCCTATGTTTATATGATCAGCACGCTATGTGTTTGGACGAGTGAGTCAGTATGTAGGATGCCAGAATGCAGCGCTATACAGCCGAGTGTAGCCAATCTGGGAATCGAACTGTTGCAGTTGTTTGAGTGACGAGCGAACATTAACCGATTTAATTTGTTGCCACGTCATTACTGTTTGATCTTTAAATGACAAACTACACGCTGTGTGACATGTTCTGTTGCCCCTGGGCTTGCATTCGGTAAACTAACATTAACACTTGGAGCCATATCACCGGTTCCCGCAGTCTTACAGCAAAATCCACAGACCCGCAGATTGCAGAACTATGGAAATGGATCCAAGGGTTTGTGTAAGGGCCCTGGACAGATAGCGGAAACATGGTGTATGACATCTTCTATATCTCCTGGGCTCGCATTTCGGTAAACGTACACTAAACCCTGGATCCATTTCCGCAGTTTCTGAAGATTGCGGAACTCCGGAAATGGATCCAAGGGTTAAAGTATAGAAGACTGGTGTCTAACCGATTGCATATTTCTGCGACATACTTCATGGTCATAGTTTAGATTAAAGATTTGCTCTGATAAGATCTACGGTCTGTCAGCACCATCTTCGTGCTGGTGGATATCAGCAAATAATAAACAAGACTTTGCCAGCATTACCTTTTTGGGGTTTTCCTCCAACACCGAGCTGACGTGCCCTGATATTAATGTTCAAGGCGACCTTTAACCCACACTGGCGGATATAAAACCTGCCAACTGCATGACAATTGAGTGTTGTGACGAGACGAGGCATGATTGATCAACACACACACAAAGGGGCGGTGTACCACACAACTGCCAGTACAACATGTGACACATATTTCCTTCTTCCCGCTCAGTGAAACCTGAAACACGGACATTCGTTATCAGCAGACGTTTGCGTTGCCCTTGGTGGGTGTTTAGTCGGTCAGTGAGTGAGTTTAGTTTTACGCCGGCCCGCACTCAGCAATATTCCAGCCATATGGACACGGTCTGTAAATAATCGAGTCTGGACAAAACAATCCGGTGATGAACAGCGTGAGCATCGATCTACGCAATTGGGATACGATGACATGTGTCAACCAAGTTAG